AAGGAAGCGAAGGTAACCTGCCTAAATGATTACAGCCTATAGGGAGGTTAGAGACCTGGCAGTGTGGTATCAGGACAACAACCTCTCCCTCAATGTGAGCAAGACACAGCAGCTGATAATGGACTACATTCACATCGACAGGGCTATAGTGGAGCGGGTCGAGAGTTTCAAGTTCCTTGGTGTCCACATCACCAATGATCATGGTCCAAACACACCAAGACAGTCGTGAAGAGGGCACAACAAAACCTTTTCCCCCTCAGGAGACTGAAAAGATTTGGCATGGGTCCCCAGATCCTCAAAAAGTTATACAGCTGCACCATCGAGAGCATCCTGACCGGTTGCATCACCGCCTGGTATAGCAACTGCTCAGCATCTGACCGTAAGGCGCTACCGAGGGTAATGCGTACGGCCCAGTACATCACTGGGGCCAAGCTTCCTGCCATCCAGGACCTACAGTTGAAGTCGGAAGTTTACATACACTTAGGTTGGAGTCATTACAACTCGTTTTTCAACCACTAAACAAATTTCCTGTTAACAAACTATAGTTTTGGCAAGTCGGTTAGGACATCTACTTTGTGCATGACACAAACAATTGTTTACAGACAGATTATTTCACTTATAATTCACTGTATCACAATTCCAGTGGGTCAGAAGTTTAAGTACAGTAAGTTGACTGTGCCTTTAAACAGCTTGGAAAATTCCAGAAAATGATGTCATGGCTTTAGAAGCTTCTGATAGGCTAATTGATGTCATTTGAGTCAATTGGAGGTGTACCTGTGGATGTATTTCAAGGCCTACCTTCAAACTCAGTGCCTCTTTGCTTGACATCATGGGAAAATCAAAAGAAATCAGCCAAGACCTCAGAAAAAAAATTGTAGACCTCCACAAGTCTGGTTCATCCTTGGGAGCAATTTCCAAACGCCTGAAGGTACCACGTTCATATGGACAAACAATAGTACGCAAGTATAAACACCATGGGACCACGCAGCCGTCATACCGCTCAGGAAGGAGACACGTTCTGTCTCCTAGAGATGAACGTACTTTGGTGCAAAAAGTGCAAATCAATCCCAGAACAACAGCAAAGGACCTTGTGAAGATGCTGGAGGAAACAGGTACAAAAGTATCTATATCCACAGTAAAACAAGTCCTATATCGACATAACCTGAAAGGCCGCTCAGCAAGGAAGAAGCCACTGCTCCAAAACCGCCATAAAAAAGCCAGCCTACGGTTTGCAACTGCACATGGGGACAAAGATCATACTTTTTTGAGAAATTTCCTCTGATCTGATGAAACAAAAATAGAACCGTTTGGCCATAATGACCATCGTTATGTTTGGAGGAAAAAGGGGGTGCTTGCAAGCTGAAGAACACCATCCCATCCGTGAAGCACGGGGGTGGCAGCATCATGCAGTGGGAGTGCTTTGCTCCAGGAGGGACTGGTGCACTTCACAAAATAGATGGTATCATAAGGAAGGAAAATTATGTGGATATATTGAAGCAACATCTTAAGACATCAGTCAGGAAGTTAAAGCTTGGTCGCAAATAGGTCTTCCAAATGGACAATGACCCCAAGCATACTTCCAAAGTTGTGGCAAAATGGCTTAAGGACAACAAAGTCAAGGTATTGGAGTGGCCACCACAAAGCCCTGACCTCAATCCTATAGAAAATGTGTGGGCAGAACTGAAAAAGCGTGTACTAGCAAGGAGGTCTACAAACCTGACTCAGTTATACCGGCACTGTCAGGTGGAATGGGCCAAAATTCACCCAACTTATTGTGGGAAGCTTGTGGAGGGCTACCCGAAACGTTTGACCAAGTTAAACAATTTAAAGGCAATGCTACCAAATACTAATTGAGTGTATGTAAACTTCTGACCCACTGGGAATGTGATGAAAGAAATAAAAGCTGAAATAAATCATTCTCTCTAGTATTATTGTGACATTTCACATTCTTAAAATAAAGTGGTGATCCTAACTGACCTAAAACAGGGAATTTTTACTGGGTTTAAATGTCAGGAATTGTAAAAAAAAATTGAGTTTAAATGTGTTTGGCTAAGGTGTATGTAAACTTCTGACTTCAACTGTATATACTAGCCGGTGTCAGAGGAAAGCCCACAAAATTGTCAAAGACTCCAGTTACCCAAGTCATAGACTGTTCTCTGCTACCGCACGGCAAGCGGTACCGGAGCGCCTAGTCTAGTACCAAAAGGCTACTGAACAGCTTCTACCCCCAAGCCAGAAGTCTGCTGAACAATTAATCAAATGGCCACCCAGATTATTTACATTGACCCCCCCCCCCCCCCCCATTTGTTTTTACACTGCTTCTACCCACTGTCTATTATCTAAGCATAGTCACTTTACCCCTACCTACATGTACAAATGACCTCGACTAACCTGTACCCTCGCACATTGAATCGGTACCGGTAACCCCTGTATATAGCCTCTATATTTTTATTTTATTGTTACTTATCTTTTTATTTAGTTTATTTGTCAAATATTTTCTTAACCCTTTCTTGTACTGCATTGTTGGTTAAGTGCTTGTAAGTAAGCAGTTCACGGTAAGGTCTACACCTGTTTTATTCGGCGCATGTGACAAAGTTTGATTTGATAAGACTGCTGAACATTTAATCAAATGGCCACCCGGACTATTTACATTGACCCCCTCCCCCCCACCTTTGTTTTTACACTGCTGCTACTCGCTGTTTATTATCTGTGCATAGTCACTTTACAAATTACCTCGACTAACCTGTACCCCCGCACATTGACTTGGTACCGGTACCCTCTGTATATAGTCTCGTTATGGTTAGGAATGTTCTTGTGTTACTTTTTGATTTTATTGTATATTTTTTACTTTAGTTTATTTAGTAAATATTTTCTTAACTCTATTTCTTGAACTGCATTGTTGGTTAAGGGCTCGTAAGTAAGCATTTCACGGTAAGGTCTACACCTGTTGTATTCGGTGCTTGTGACAAACAAAATTGGATTTGATTTTATGTTAAACTGTGTAGGAAAAAATTAAAGGCAGTAGAATTTAATTTGACGATATTCTATGAAATTGGTCACATGGTGACCTATACTATGTAAAACATATGGATGAAACATTAGATTTTTAAAGACTCATTCTCCCATGAATTTTCAATAATTACAGTAGGCTGGAAATATTCTACGATCCTTTTGTAGGTTATAATAATTCATAACTCACTTCCATGTTATTGAATATAAAATAAAATACATTTCCCAGAATAGATCAAACACTACAGAATGGAAGGGATTAACCCAATCTCATGACAACAACAAAAAATACTGTGTGACATGTTTGAGTTGTAATCAAGCTAATATTTGAAATGGTATCTGTATTCTTTGCAGTAACAAGTGGCAGATAATTTTAATAAAATATTTGTCTAAGGAATGAGACCTTCAGCTTCATGTCTCACTCGCTGAGCTATACAGTGCATTCGGAAAGTTTTCAGACCCCTTCCCTTTTTCAACATTTTGTTACGTTACAGCCATATTCATAAATTGATAAAAAAACGAACAAAAACAAATCTATATACAATACCCCATAATGACAAAGTGAAAACAGGTTTTTAGACATTTTTGCTCATTTATTACAAATAAAAAACAGAAATACCTTATTTAAGTATTCAGACCCTTTGCTATGAGACTCGAAATTGAGCTCCGGTGCATCCTGTTTCCATTGATCATCCTTGAGATTGGAGTCCACCTGTGGTAAATTCAATTGATTGGACATGATTTGGAAAGGCACAGACCTGTCTATATAAGGTCCCACAGTTGACAATGCATTTCAGAGCAAAAACCAAGCCATGAGGTCGAAGGAATTGTCCGTAGAGCTCCGAGACAGGATTGTGTCGAGGCACAGATCTGGGGAAGGGTACCAAAACATTTCTGCAGCATTGAATGTCCCCAAGAACACAGTGGCCTCCATCATTCTTAAATGGAAGAAGTTTGGAACCACCTAGACTCTTCCTATACCTGGCCACCGGGCCAAACTGAGCAATCGAGCGAGAAGGGCCTTGGTCAGGGAGTTGACCAAGAACCCGATGGTAACTCGGACAGAGCTCCAGAGTTCCGCTGTGTAGATGGGAGAACCTTCCAGCTGAACAAGATTCTCTGGTCTGATGAAACCAAGATTTAACTATTTGGCCTGAATGCCAAGCGTCACGTCTGGAGGAAACCTGGCACCATCCCTACGGTGAAGCATGGTGGTGGCAGCATCATGCTGTGGGGGATGTTTTTCAGCGGCAGGGACTGGGAGACTAGTCAGGATCAAGGGAAAGATGAACGGAGCAAAGTACAGAGAGATCCTTGATGAAAACCTGCTCCAGAGCGCTCAGGACCTCAGACTGGGGTGAAGGTTAATCTTCCAACAGGACAATGACCCTAAGCACACAGCTAAGACAACGCAGGAGTGGCTTCGAGACAAGTCTCTGAATGTCCTTGAGGGGTCCAGCCAGAGCCCGGACTTGAACCCGATCGAACATCTCTGGAGAGAACTGAAAATAGCTGTTTAGCGACGCTCCCCATCCAACCTAACAGAGCCTGAGAGGATCTGCAGAGAAGAAAGGAAGAAACTCCCCAAATACAGGTGTGCCAAGCTTGTAGCGTCATACCCAAGAAGACTTGAGGCTGTAATCGCTGCCAAAGGTGCTTCAACAAAGTACTGAGTATAGGGTCTGAATACTTATGTTAATGATAAATTTGCAAAAAATTATAAAAACCAGTTTTTGCTTTGTCATTATGGGGTATTGTGTGTAGATTGATGAGGGAAAAAAACGATTTAATCAATTTTAGTATAAGGCTGTAACGTAACAAAATGTGGAACAAGTCTAGGGGTCTGAAAACTTTCCGAATGCACTGAATGTCTCACTTGATTCAAATTAACTTCCTTTAATTCAAATTCAATTCACATTCTGCTTCATGTCTAATTTGAATTCATGAGTTGTGTGTGCTGCCTTATAACTGATCCCTCTCTGGTCCTAAAGGAGCAGTACGAGCTCTACTGCGAGATGGGCTCCACCTTCCAGCTGTGCAAGATCTGCGCCGAGAACGACAAGGATGTAAAGATCGAGCCCTGCGGACACCTCATGTGCACCTCCTGCCTGACTGCCTGGCAGGTAATCAAATCAAATGTTAACGGTGCATTGCAGTGTGACTAGGGTTTGAATCTCAGGTTTGCATGACAGGGATGGATCATGTTAAACTAACACCATCTCTCTTGGCATTGCATGTATGCCAATTGCTAGTGCACAAAAAACCAAACAGCCTTTGCCTTATTTATCCGATTGAGGCTGAATTTATTTGAGCATCTGTGATACAAACAAGGCATTTCTGTGTTTCTACTGTTAATGCTTTGCTAACAGTTTTCTGTATGCCTACTTAGTGTTATTTGCTTTTGAATACAGTAGGTGGTAGGGATTAACATGGGTAACCGGAATCCCGGGACTGTCCCGGGAACACTCTTTACATTTCCCGAAAAAATAAAGACCTTTGAAATCACAAAAAAAATATCCAATGTAGGCACTAATGCAGGCCCTTCACAACATTTGCAGCATCAGATTAGCAACAAATAAAATATTACATTATCCAAACAGCTTTTCGCATGGAAACCTTTCACATCACACAAAGTCGGCATAAATTCAAAGTGCATGCATAATTGATACTGCCGGACTGCACACGCGACCTGAATGCCGGTAATAAACCCTACAGGAAACCCCTACAGTATAGCCTATAAAATAATGTGTGCCTCTTTGAGCTGTCATTGTGAATCTTCAGGCAGTCACACATTTGATAGGCCTATGCACAATTCACTGTCACATGAAGTCTGTTAAAAATTCTGAGAGTCATGAGGGAATATTCTATCTTCTCCTGTCCTAGAGCCTAGGCTATTTTCCTTTCCAGTCCCAATCCCAATCCCACTGAAACCCAAAATCTTGACTCCTGTCTCGCATGAAAATTCCTAACTATTCTGTAATCCATAGGTTGCATTATCAGAGCACGTCTCTCGTGTATGCCTGTCAAAATACTGCTATAACTATTTCCACTCTTCATCTCCACGTTATTCATGAGCTGATCTGCTATCTGTATAATCATCAACTCGATTTAGCCAAATATAGGAGCGATTCTGTAATTCGTTGAAGGAGGTTATCTAGCAAGTTTAGCAACTTTGGTCATTTCACTTTTGTTTGACTGAGTAAGAATGATTAGACAGCACTATACTCGGAGTGCGCTCTTGTGCATTGAGAGCCTACTGCTGAAATGCGCTGCCGATCAAAGATAGTTACTATCATTAGTAAATATCAGTTTAATTTGCTCTGAAATCTTGACATAGTGGTGTAGCCAAGCCGACAAGGTGGCGCAGCGCCCCTCTTATTTGGAGAGAACCTTGGCATAGTGACCATATCTTGATTTTAAACGCTTTAAATGGGCATTTCCAGGATAAATAGGAATTATTCCCAGTATTGAAACTTGGTAGATGTTCTTGAAAATATTCATCCCTAGTAGGTGGTACATCTGCAGAGAAGGCACAACCCTGTTTGGATGGAACATTGGTGTGTTGTGTGTGTGTGTCAGATGGGATGGTAATGTGTGTATGTTTGTAATTACTGTCCTAATGAGTCACTATTGGCCTCCTCCCATAGTGGGACATCTGTGCTGCTTTTCTCAAGTCAACAGATCTATCTATTGTGTCATCTTATTGATCTTCAGCAGAAACACAAACTTGCTTACAGGAGGCACTTTTTTGCACTGTTGGGTGTCATATATTCATGGTGGATTCATTTGTTTATTTCTTTCAGGGACGTGTGTTAAGAACCCTTTCATAATGGAGGTGGTCCTGATATACAGTAACTACAGATACACATCTATAGATACTATACACATCACAAACAGACAGCTATATATCATGTGTGCATACTGTAATATGAACATATGAAGTTGGTAATGCAGGAGATACATAAGAAAGGATCTTGGACACAGTTAGTTTTGTTCTGTTTCAGAACACAAGCCTTACCCATCTCCTCCCTGTATGTAGGGCCCTATAAAATCTGCTTTACAAAGAATGCGAACGGAATCACGGAATCCAGACATTAAAATGGAATTCAACAATATTGAAAAATGTATTTCACTTTTAGTAGGAAATTAACTAAATGTATTGACTTATTAGAACATTCTTTAATTTGCCAAATATTATCATAAGACATTAACAAAATACATCAGTGATTCGTATTTTCCATCGCTAACCAAACAACGGTCTCTGGCTGGTGCACAGTTGAATTAAAGGGTAACTACACAAATGTATTAGATTTTTCACAGACCTCAAAAGTGGTCTCCGGAAGTAGTTTAAGCATTGTTGTGGACTTAGAACATCCTATTTTGTTTTTCTATTAAAAAAGTGTGATTTTGAGACTGGAAATCTGAAAAAACAGAGAAAAACAGAGAAATCGAAATTTGGGAGAAAATAAACAGAATCAGACAAATTCAACCGATTTTTATAGGGCCCTATGTATGGTTGATGTCAAGTTGGTGATGGTTTTAGAATGGTAGAATGGCTTAGCCTGTCCCTTTCTGTTTCTCTATGTCTATGGCTCTACCAGTGATTCCCATGGCTCCATCTGAGGTGGGCCTAAGGGCACGTGTCTGTGTGTGTGTGTGTCTTTGTCACATTTCCTGTTATGATGATGTGATGTGTCATGTGACCGAGCCCTACCTTTCCTATCTACGGTTGCCGGGATGTGTGTCAGCGCAGTGATGTCATGTGTGGGCCGTGGAAGTCACAGAGGGAACTTCCATTCTCGCTATTGTATGACTAACTAACAACCCCGGATATGTTCCAGTTGAGTCAAATACGTGGGGTTCCCTCGTTACATTAGCCTACTCAACAAGGACTTGTGGTACTACTTCTTATAAAAAGAAATTGAAAACATCTGCCATTACTCAAAGATTCTTGAACACATCCTGGTATTTTAACTTAAGAAAGTTTCTTAAGGCAGAAGGGGTGGGCCCTGTAGGGTTTGAATGGCCATTCTGTTTTTGGAAAGGACGTGTTTGTGATCAGATGTGGGTGTTTTTGGCCGAGAGCAGTGATGCATACGATTTTACACATTTACCATAATGTACAGTATGTACATACATGGCTCTGCAACTCTGAATCTTCTGATTTGATTGATCAGATTGATATCTAACCTAGGACCAAAACTTAAATGTCATATGACTCTGGGATCATCTGCATTTACTATACCTAGGGTTGCAAAATTCCAGGAACTTTCAATAAATTCCCTGGTTTTCCAGAAATCCTGATTGGAGGATTCCGGAATTCCTGCTTATTCACGCCTGATTCCGGGAATCTTCCAACCAGTATTTCGGGAAAACCAGGGAATCTATACTACCAGAAACAATGGTTCTCATTGTCAGCCGATGCTGAATGTGCCTGAGCGGCCTCCCACTCTAATTTGGATTAGGTTTCCAAAAATGCTTTGATGCCTTTCGCAAGTTCCCAACCAGATAGATGGCTGCCACAATCAGGCTTTTGTTCTTGTAAATATCGCCTCCCTTTGATTCACGAAAGTTGAAGCAGAGGGAAACCTCATCATGAAAGATGGAAGCCTTTTATTAATTGTATTTTTAGTGCCAATCGCATGGTCCAAGCAAGTGTGCGTTTGTGTGTGTGTGTGTGTCCGTGCATGTGTGTTGTATGCCTGAGTGTGTATAGTCTCCACTGGCACTGGGCACATGCATGTGGGATTGCATTTATTTGAATATTTGATTAATTTACTTACTTACTTATGTATGTAGGCCTATATGCTGCAATGCATCTTTTAGCTGCAAATGTAGTAAAGCTTGATGTGCGTTTCTCGACAGGAGTCGGACGGACAAGGGTGTCCTTTCTGCCGGTGTGAGATCAAAGGCACAGAGCCTATCATCGTGGACCCTTTTGACCCGCGCAACACGGGGGCTAAGTGCTTCTTCTTGGATCACTTTAGCTCGCCTATACTGGACCTGGAAGACCTGGATGAGGACAAAGAGGACTGTCTGGTCATGAATGGACTGGCCTCCATCAGGAAGGTACATCACACCATTTACTATCACTTTTATTAAATTATTATAATACGTAATTGTATGAATTAATTAATTTATTTGAGAAATGTAAAATACATATAGAGTTGCCTCAGCCATGTGAGTACAACAAAATACACACATAAAACATTATAGAGGATTTAAAAATCATGGTAGCGCGTTATAATAATTCCACGTAATAAAGCATTTATAATGGATAAGTAAATTGTTTCTTTATCTTTTATTAATCATTACTCCCAGATTTGTAAATGCTAGGAACCTAGTTATTCACACATTTATAAACAACCTTTAAACAGAGTCAATGTGCAGGGACACAGGTTAGTCGAGGTAATTGAGGTAATATGTACATGTAGGTAGAGTTAAAGTGACTATGCATAGATAATAAACAGAGAGTAGCAGCAGCGAAAAAGAGGGGATGGGGTGAGGGGGACATTTGATTAGCTGTTCAGGAGTCCTTTGGCTTGGGGGGGTAGAAGCTGTTAAGAAGCCTTTTGGACCTAGACTTGGCGCTCCGGTACCGCTTGCCGTGCGGTAGCAGAGAGAACAGTCTATGACTAGGGTGGCTGGAGTCTTTGACAATTTTTAGGGCCTTCCTCTGACACAGCCTGGTATAGAGGTCCTGGATGGCAGGAAGCTTGGCCCCAGTGATGTACTGGGCCGTATGCACTACCCTCTGTAGTGCCTTACGGTTGGAGGCCGAGCAATTGCCATACCAGGCATTGATGCAACCGGTCAGGATGCTCTCGATGGTGCAGCTGTATAACGTTTTGAGGATCTGAGGACCCATGCCAAATCTTTTCAGTCTCCTGAGGGGGAATAAGCTTTGTCGTGCCCTCTTCACGACTGTCTTGGTGTGTTTGGACCACGATAGTTTGTTGGTGATGTGGATACCAAGGAACTTGAAGCTCTCAACCTGCTCCACTACAGCCCCGTCGCTGAGAATTGGGGCGTGCTTGGTCCACTTCTTTTTCCTGTGGACCACAATCTTCTCCTTTTTTCTTTTTTTTCCTTTTTTTTTAGGGGGTAGATCAGCTTTAATATTGCAGATAGATTGTAACTTCCATCAATGTAATTGTCTGCATCACTTCCAATCCCCCATATGTTTTTTTTTTTCTTTTCTTTCTCGCATATATATATACAGTGGGGAAAAAAAGTATTTAGTCAGCCACCAATTGTGCAAGTTCTCCCACTTAAAAAGATGAGAGAGGCCTGTAATTTTCATCATATGTATATGTCAACTATGACAGACAAAATTAGAAAAAAAAAATCAAGAAAATCACATTGTAGGATTTTTAATGAATTTATTTGCAAATTATGGTGGAAAATAAGTATTTGGTCAATAACAAAAGTTTCTCAATACTTTGTTATATACCCTTTGTTGGCAATGACACAGGTCAAACGTTTTCTGTAAGTCTTCACAAGGTTTTCACACACTGTTGCTGGTATTTTGGCCCATTCCTCAATGCAGATCTCCTCTAGAGCAGTGATGTTTTGGGGCTGTCGCTGGGCAACACAGACTTTCAACTCCCTCCAAAGATTTTCTATGGGGTTGAGATCAGGAGACTGGCTAGGCCACTCCAGGACCTTGAAATGCTTCTTACGAAGCCACTCCTTCATTGCCCGGGCGGTGTGTTTGGGATCATTGTCATGCTGAAAGACCCAGCCACGTTTCATCTTCAATGCCCTTGCTGATGGAAGGAGGTTTTCACTCAAAATCTCACGATACATGGCCCCATTCATTCATTCCTTTACACGGATCAGTCGTCCTGGTCCCTTTGCAGAAAAACAGCCCCAAAGCATGATGTTTCCACCCCCATACTTCACAGTAGGTATGGTGTTCTTTGGATGCAACTCAGCATTCTTTGTCCTCCAAACACGACGAGTTGAGTTTTTACCAAAAAGTTCTATTTTGGTTTCATCTGACCATATGACATTCTCCCAATACTCTTCTGGATCATCCAAATGCACTCTAGCAAACTTCAGACAGGCCTGGACATGTACTGGCTTAAGCAGGCGGACACGTCTGGCACTGCAGGATTTGAGTCCCTGGCGGCGTAGTGTGTTACTGATGGTAGGCTTTGTTACTTTGGTCCCAGCTCTCTGCAGGTCATTCACTAGGTCCCCCCGTGTGGTTCTGGGATTTTTGCTCACCGTTCTTGTGATCATTTTGACCCTACGGGGTGAGATCTTGCGTGGAGCCCCAGATCGAGGGAGATTATCAGTGGTCTTGTATGTCTTCCATTTCCTAATAATTGCTCCCACAGTTGATTTCTTCAAACCAAGCTGCTTACCTATTGCAGATTCAGTATTCCCAGCCTGGTGCAGGTCTACAATTTTGTTTCTGGTGTCCTTTGTCAGCTCTTTGGTCTTGGCCATAGTGGAGTTTGGAGTGTGACTGTTTGAGGTTGTGGACAGGTGTCTTTTATACTGATAACAAGTTCAAACAGATGCCATTAATACAGGTAACGAGTGGAGGACAGAGGAGCCTCTTAAAGAAGAAGTTACAGGTCTGTGAGAGCCAGAAATCTTGCTTGTTTGTAGGTGACCAAATACTTATTTTCCACCATAATTTGCAAATAAATTCATAAAAAATCCTACAATGTGATTTTCTGGATTTTTTTCCTCAATATGTCTTTCATAGTTGACGTGTACCTATGATGAAAATTACAGGCCTCTCTCATCTTTTTAAGTGGGAGAAGTTGCACAAATAGTGGCTGACTAAATACTTTTTTTCCCCACTGTATATATATATATATACACATACATACACATACATACATATACACATATATATACATATATATATATACATACATATCCTTTTAAAATATATATATATTTCTCTTTATTACTTTCCAACCCCACCATCCCTTCCCTAATTGGAGTAGACTAGTGATCATCTCCTTTGTCTTGATCACGTTGAGGGAGAGGTTGTTATCCTGGAACCACACGGCCAGGTCTCTGATCTCCTCCCTATAGGCTGTCTCATTGTTGTCAGTGATCAGGCCTACCACTGTTGTGTCGTCGGCAAACTTATTGATGGTGTTGTAGTCGTTCCTGGCCATGCAGTCATGGGTGAACAGGGAGTACAGGAGGGGACTGAGCACGCACCCCTGAGGGGCCCCCGTGTTGAGGATCAGCGTGGCAGATGTGTTGTTACCTACCCTTACCACCTGGGGGCGGCCCGTCAGGAAGTCCAGGATCCAGTTGCAGTGGGAGGTGTTTAGTCCCAGGGTCCTTAGCTGAGTTGTAGTCAATGAATAGCATTCTCACGTAGGTGTTTCATTTGTCCAGGTGGAAAAGGGCAGTGATGAGTGCAATAGAGATTGCATCATCTGTGGATCTGTTGGGGCGGTATGCAAATTGGAGTGGGTCTGTTTAATCATGCCGATGTGGCGTATACCCGCCAGCTGTATGTTATCCATGTCGTCGTTCAGCCACGACTCTGTGAAACATAACATATTGCAGTTATTAATGTCCCGTTGGTAGGATATCCGTGATCTTAGTTTGTCTATTTTCTAATCCAATGATTGTACGTTGGCTAATAGGACTAATGGTAGAGTCAGATTACACACTCACCGTCGGATCCTTACTAGGCACCCGATATCTCTGTCTCTTTCTCATGCAAATGACGAGGATTTGGGCCTGGTCGGGTGTCTGAAGAAAATCCTCCGCGTCCGACTCATTGAAGTGATGTGAGTAATCGCTGTCCTGATATCCAGAAGCTCTGGCAGAAACATTATGTACAAAATAAGTTACAAATAATGCGGAAAAAAACCCACACACAATAGCACAATTGTTTAGCTTGGAGAAGCCTAATTACCGTGACTAAACGGAATTTGACTGCCCTCATGACTAGTGACTGCCGGTGTGGCGGTAATACGGTCACCGCAACAGCCCTAGCCTCATTTAAAGTGTGGGATATTTTTAGTTTATAAATGTTTTCAATGACCAGTGTAATTTCTCACAAAAATATGGATATGCCATTGGTAGACATTCCAGCAGTAACTGATGCTCCTTAAGGTCTCAAAATGGCCCCTTGAACATATCAATGGTTAAACAAGAAGCATACAATAAAGAGGATGTTTTAGAAAATATATTTTATTCCAAAACAGTCAAAATGTTGTAATAGTGTGATGTGTGACTTCAGACACGTTCGATGCTGAGTAAAATAATGTTTTAGTCCAAAAATGCTAACATAAGTGTTTCTTGACAGTGACTTTTCTACCAAAACCAAAGTGTGGATTGCAGTCACTCTTTAGATGAGTCTAATCTTGGTTAACCCAGAACTAAAATCTTGCATAATTTGGTCAGCTGCGTGATTACGTTCTGGGTCCATACATGTTAGAAATTGGGAGTTCTGGTTTGCGAAGTCTCCACCCTCGCAAATGGAAACTCTCAGCCCCCCCCTACCTCAATCACATATCAGTAGTAATGAAGGAATAAAAATCCACTAGAGACAAAAACTGTCAAGTATGGCCAGCTGTTGTGTGTAGGCTCCATCTCCTTTCTCCATTTTATAATTAGTTGGCATTCGCGAGCTTGACAACATTAGCAAAACAGTCACATTTATAACTCTTCCTCAAATCCTTGCAGTCAATATTAAATGAATCATTCTTTATTATCAGCAAGCTGGAGAGGTTCCAACAAACATAATGCACCATAGTACACATTGGTCGGGAGCTCTGCCGGGGCAGTCCCCTTAGTTCTCTTATATACGGCTATACAAAAAAGTAATATAAGCATGATTTACATTATTCATTATTCATCATTATCTTTGGTTCCTGCACGTGACTGACGAATACCTCACAAGGCTTCTTCTCTCCAAGCTGAGACCTTGAAACTGAGATACCCCTTTCGGTTCCCATACAGCAATGTTCTGGGCATACTGCCAAATTGATAGTGAGAATCCCTGTCATGCACAATCAATCAGTCACTTGCATGAACCCAGTCGAATTGGTTATTAGAAAAGCATAAACATAACATTT